CCGGTGTTGCTCCTCCACAGGCTCTGGCCTGCTGATCTGTGTTGTACCCTTCAGTTGGTGAGCTCCTTCATCTGTGAGCAGTTATCTGTTTTCCTTCATGTCAGGAGAGTCGTTATTGCGAGTGTGTGCAAACATCAGTTAAGTAACTGTTTTCTCGTCCTGTGAGCTCGACCTCTTCTTACTCTCCCTTTCTTTAACTTCCTTTTCCTCTCACTTGCATGTTTCCTCTTCCACAAACTGTCTAATCACACTCTCCAGTGTGTGTGTGACTTCCTGCATCTCTTACTTTCTCATTCCCAGTTCATTCCTTAAACATATAAAGTGCAATTTGCTTCTTTTGTTGAGCAGTAAAAATCCCTCTGATGTTGTGGGACTCTCAAAAACTTAGTTCCTGGTTCAAGCCTGACACTTTGGGCTTTGCAGGGTGAAGGCCTCGTGTTTTATGCTTCTCTGATGCTCTTGAAATGTTGTTTCTATTTAGCCATAGAAGAAGGATTGCACGCAGTCTGACCAGCATCAAGGCAAGTGTTTCAGATACCACTGATCTCTTTATGATTCTCTCCAACACAACACCTAACTGTGCTCTTTCTGTCCCTCCTAAGACCCTCCCTCTCTCTCTCTTTCATGGCATTTCTAATCTCTCTTTGCTGTTTTGGCTGATTGGGACCTGATGAGGGTAGAAACAAAGAATTACCTGATTTCTTTTTTAAACCTGATTGTTGTTTCTGAGAAAAATGAGATCCACATATGAGGACATTTGTTTTAAATGCTGATCGAGCAGTGACAGTATAATGTCTATAATGGTCCAGACAACCTAAGATGTGATGTCCACATATGTGGAGGTTAATCAGCTATTCTAGTGATTCAAATAACTTGATCAGTTCTGCATCACACAGCTGTTATTCCTGTTTTTCTTTTCCCAGACAGATATTTTTGTTCTTTGAATTTAAATGTTTCTTTTCCTCTAAAATGCTCAAGTGTAGCTACTTTGCCTTCATTCCTACTTGTTGGGAAGAGCTGTGATCCAGCTGTTTGAGTGTATTTTAATTTCTTATATTATATTTGGAGATGTGTTGTTTCCATTGCCCTGATCACCTCCTGTGTGTATTTAGTGTGTGTTTCATTCGCTCTTTGTCAGGTCGTCTGTGTATTTCCCCTCCATGTCATGTCACAGTGCTCATAATCACCATAGTTTTTCATAGTTACCTCATTCTTGGGGCTCTTCAGGTTGTTTTGTTGCTTTAACTAATTTATTATTAACACCCATATAAAGATTATGCATAAATGAATGACCATTGTAAAAAATTGTTTTTTTCTTTATATATGTTTGTTATGTAAATGTGCTTTTATTTATTCACTCCACATAAAATGTAAAAAATAGTTGTTTTTTGTCTGTTTACAATTCAAATTTAAACTATTTACATTTTTTTTGCTTTGGGCTCTGGGTTGGTTCAGGTGGATGTGGTGGTGTACTGCATGCTGCTGTAGATGCAGCAGCAGCAACAGTTGCAGACACACTGGCACCTTCACACTCAACTGACTGTGTTTCATCTTCCCATTGCACTGATGGGTGGACAGCTGTCAGGAGCCTGTGCAGTTTGTGGAGCGGCTCCGTATGATATCCTCTACACTCTGGCTTTGTGTTGTCAACAACATTAAAATGCTTCCAGATTTGGCTTTTCTTGGTTTCACTTAATGACCCAGGTGATTAAAAACATGTTCAAGAGTCTGCGTGAAAGTTACAGTGCACATGCTCAGTGCAGGTAGATGTAGAGTGTATATAGTTACATAGACATACATGTCATCCTGTGTCCTGTTTGCCTCCAGATGTGGAGCTTCATGTTTCTCTCTGTGTGTTTGTGTCTCCAGATGTGGAGGCGTCTGCTCAGCCTGATCCAGGTGTTGGACCCTCTGTGTTCTGTGGAGTGGGTCTGACTCTCGGTCTGGTCGGTGTGGCTGTTGGAACCTTCTTCCTCATCAAAGGAAACGAGTGCAGCTGATTGGCTCACGGTGACGATGTCATTCTATGACGAGCTCCTAATCAGTGTGACTGTGCTGTAGGTGAGTGTGCAGAGTTCGCCTGTAATGAGCATCAGATCCTTTGTTCTGGTTTACCTGCCTCACCTGACGTGCTTAATAATGGAACATCTGTATGAGCTGTGCCGTCAGCCGCTGGTGTCAATAAAGTTTAACTCTGGAATTCAAAGCAAAGCTATTTTCAGGTGCTCTCGCACCACCAGCAGATTTTACCTGGACTCTGTTCCTGCCACAAAAGTGATGAGACTGAGATCAGTTTGATGTGACCTCAGTGTTCATAAACTCCTATAATGTGTCTTTGTTTACCAAACCGTGTTTCAGATTTTCATATATCAATAAAGTTTAATGACGGATTGTGTGTGTGTGTGTGGAGTCAGACTTTGAGCTCTAACAGAATGAACATTAATGATGTCTGAATTTGTCTTTGCAAACACAAAGATGTCAAACTAAATCCTGATGAAGACTCTGCTGATGAAAGCAGGTGAAAGAAAAATCAGTGAGTGTTTATAGAAATGAATCTAACATGTTTATATTCCAGATGTTTTAATATCTGGCATTTAAATTTACTCTGAATATGGATAAAATCTCATTCTGATTTCATTCAGTTTAATTTCTACAGCACAAAATCACAACAACAGTCAGCTGAAGCAGCTTCATATTGTGATGTAAATACTCTTCAATAACACAACATTAATACGAGCTGAAGTTCATCTGCTGCAGTCTGACTGGTTTATAAATGTGAATCTGAATTTCTCTGCTTGAATATTTAAATGCAGATTGAGTGTAATGTTAATGTAACAGTGAAATGTGATCCAGCTGCTCTGAAGATCTCGCCATGATGACATCACACTGTGGCGTCCACGCAGGAACATCAGCCACACACGAGTCCCACACACCCACAGAGCTGATTGTAAATCTGATCACTGTCATTGTTACAGGTTCTTCTCATTGTTACAGCAGGTCTGACTTCAGTGTTGGGTGCAGATAACTATTACACACGAATATGTTTCCATGACTGCAGACTGTGACTGAAACGTAAATGAAAGCAGGTTTTCAGTTTGCTCTGCTTTCAGAGCTTTAACGGACAGAAACACATGTGGAGGTGAAGGGTGTGAACTATGAGCTGATCCCACAGTAACAGATGATGCTGTGGTCATGTGACCTGACTTCCTGTTTCTCGAGCAGCATTCCGTCAGACTGAGTCAGTTTGTCTGCAGAACTTAGAAACATGGCTTCATCCTTCCTCTGCCTCCTCTTCATCAGCCTCAGCACAGCAGGTACCATCAATACGCTGACCAGTGATCACTAATACACTGATCGGTGACATGATTCGCCCTCGGTCTGATGTTCTGTTTGTTCTCAGATGGATTCATGACTTACAGACTGTCTCGCTGTGATTTTAACTCCACTGAGCTGAAGGACATCCGGTTCACCGACTCTTACTATTACAACATGATAGAGATCATCAGGTTTGACAGCAATGTGGGGACGTTTGTTGGATTCACTGACTTTGGAGTGAAGACCGCAGAGGCCTGGAACAATATTCCTGCAAGGCTGGCTACCATGAGGGCTCAGAAGGGGACGTACTGCAAACCAAACATTGATGTTAGATACCACAACCTTATGTCTAAATCAGGTGAGCGTGCGTGGTCTGTGTGACATCATCAGGTGTTCCTGCTGACCTCACTCTGAATCATTTATGATGGACTCACAGCTGCAGCTAATTTTGATGATTAATAACTTTAATAAATCATCGATCACGGAACATAAGACGCCAGAGAACGACTCTGACCTGCGGCGCCCCCTGCTGGTGACACAGGCAAACTGCAGCTGTTCCTCATAACACACTCATTGTGATATTATTTTTTTAAACTCTTTGAGCTGAAAAATCATCCACAATTGTTTTTTAATATTTCCATATACATATTTTAACAGCACGGAGCAGCCTGACAGGTTAATTATTTCCTTCTTTTCATCTTATTCATTTATTTTAAATATGATAAATATGAAGCACTGATGTCTGCAGTTCATTTATTGGTTGTGACCTTCACAGCTTGTTTAGCAGCTTCACACCTGCAAACATTTACAGCTCAGATCTATGACTCAGTGTAACAGTGGAGTTATTCAATATGAGGCAACACTTATAAAGTTATCATCAGAACACACACATATAAATGTGACTGCTGTTATTTAATCTGTGTGTGTTTCACTCTCTACAGCATCTTTGCAGTAAAGTGAGCTAAAATGCTGAAACAGCTGCTGTGCTGACAGGCTGACCTGACTGATCGGTGAAATGTAAACACACACAAGCTGTGACTGTGTAACATCAGAAACAGAGAGTGCAGGGGAAGCTGTCTGATAGTGTGAAGTCATCCTGTGTGTTCTGCTTTTGGGTTATAGATGGTTAGATCTACGAGTGCACCTAAACACAGCATGAATGTTGAACCGCACGAGCAGGCTGTTTACAGCAGTAACTTCCTCTCTGGAGTGAGACGGTGCAACCTCAGAGAAAGAAACGTGTGAGAAGTTTCCTCTTTTATCTGACCCATCTGTGTGACTGGTTACAAATATGATTAATTAAACAGGCAAAGCGCCCCCTGCAGGCCCCGGATGGTACAGTCTGATCAAAGTGCCTTCCATCGGGGCCTCGATCACAAGCTCCTCCACCGTTGTTTGCAGCCCACAGATTTACACCATCAGCTCTTCCAGTTCAGGTCCTGTCGCCTAGCAACCACCACCTAGAATGATAATGTAAAACTTTCATTAATCAGAAGCTCAGAGTTTTGACTTTAATTTTGTTAAAATTTTAAATCGAAACATATTGTAAATCAAATAAACGTATCTATCAAATATATTGAACTTTGACTACAACAACCAGCAGCAGCTTTCTTTCTGTGCTGTCACCACAGCAGATTTCCGAGACATATAATCTCTCCAGTGTGTCGTGGGCAGTGTTGGGTGTAATGCGTTACTAAGTAATGCGTTACTGTAATTAAATTACTTTTCCACTGAAAAAGTAGAGTAACTAATTACTGTTCATTTTTAGGTATTTTAATTACAGTTACTTACAATGTACTTGCGTTACATTGTAAAATAATAAAACTCGCTGAATACCATTATTTAATTTCATTAATTTAATTAATTAATTAACTCTGCCGCTTTAACATGGCTGTAGTGCAGCTGCGCGTCATTTCGCGCCAGTTTGCTGCACAGTCATATTCTACAGCGTAAGATGTCGGACTCGGCTGAAGCGAGTTTCATGACATGGACATATTCCCGTATCTTCACTTTTCTGAAACAAGCAGACAAGAACATTACAGTAATATGTAAAACTATCGGCTGCTGTTAATAGTAATCTACTGAAGCGCCTGACACAGAGCATAGATGAACACTTCTGAGTGATCCTTGTTCATCATCCATGGATAACATGGCAACTCCTGCTAAGCAGCAAAACCTGATTTTACTTCAGCAGCACAGAAAGCGTCTGAAGGTGAGCTTAAAGAATGATTGCAGGCTCCACTGTGGAAGAGATGCTGCCGCTGCGTACTGTAGTCTCCGTCTTTAAAAAAAAATTATTATTAAAGAGTTTAATTTCTATTGTTTGCCCACTCAAGGTTTATATGGATTTTAAGAAGTATTTAGTTAAATACTTATGTAGTAATTAAGTTACTTTTCTGGCACAGTAATTAGATAAGTATTTTAAATACAATATTGACTAAGTAATTAGTAATTAGTAATTAATTACTTTTTTAAAGTAACTTACCCAACACTGGTCGTGGGTCTGCCTTTGGGCCTCCTCCTGGTGGGATCTTATCCAGACCTCGCTCTGTCGGTCACTACCCACAGCTGGTGAACACGGGTGAGGGTGGGGCAGTAGATCGACGTAGATCGAGAGCCCTGCTTTTACACTCAGCTGTCCAATCTGTTTGTCAACCTCCTATCACTCGTGAACAAGACCCCAAGATACTTCAACTCCTCCACTTGTGGCAAGGACTCGTCCCCAACCTGGAGTGGGCACTCCATTCTTTTTCTGAGGAGAATGGTTGCAGATTTGGAGGCGCTGATTCTCATCGGCTGTGAACCATTCCAGTGCGAGCTGGAGGCCACCTCCTCCTGACCTCCTGCCTGGTTGGGCAAACTCCCTCAATGCACTCAATGCACCCTTGAGTATCCTTAAGAGGATGAAGAGCTGGTCCAGTGTTCCATGTATAACGGACGGACTGTCCTTTCCAGCACCCTGGCATAGACCTTCCCAGGGAGGCTGAGTAGTGTGATCCCCCTATAGTTGTAAGACATCCTCCGGTCCCCCTTCCTAAAGATGGGAACCAATCCAGAGGTACCACCCCAAACACAACCAAAACATCCCCAAAACATCCAGAGTCTTCAGGAACTCAGGCTGAACCCAGGGGCTCTGCCACCAACGAGTAGTTTAACTGCCTCAGTGACTTGACTCACTGGACATTGGTGGGTCTTCCCCCTCAACGCCAGGCTCTGCTTCCTCCACGAAAGACGTGTCAGTGGGATTATGGAGGCCCTTGAAGTATTCCTTCCACTGCCTGACAATGTCCTCAGTCGAAGTCAGCAGCACTCCACCCACACTATTAATATGCACTGTGCCTTTTAAATAAATGCATTCAAATTATACAGAGAACGTTAATGATAACACAAACTAATAATGTCTTGCAGCTCCGCCCACTGTCAAGCTTCACTCCACGACGCCTCTCTCCAGTCACCATCCTGCCATGTTGGTCTGCAGCGTCTATGACTTCTTTCCCAGTAAGATCAAAGTGAGCTGGCACAGAGACGGACAGGAAGTCACCTCTGATGTCACTTCCACTGAGGAGATGGAGGATGGGGATTGGTACTACCAGACCCACTGCTACCTGGAGTACACACCCAGGTGAGCATCATGATAATAATAGTGCTAAAGTTTAAACATTTAAAGTCCAGATCTGAGAGTCACTAATGTTTGTGTCGAAGGTCTGGAGAGAAGATCTCCTGTGTGGTGGAGCACGCCAGCCTGGAGAAACCTCTGATCACTAACTGGGGTAAATACCTGTCTGTATCTACACACCTGTACATACCTGTCTGTCTCTCCACCTGTCTGACCCTCACCTGTGTGACTCAGATCCCTCCTCATCCTCATTCATGCCTAAGACAGAGAGGGACAAGCTTGCCGTCGGCGCCTCAGGACTGCTCCTCTGTTTGATCTTGTCTCTGGCTGGGTTCATCTACTACAGACAGAGAGCTCGAGGTCAGAGAACCACTCTCACTCACAGACCAGTTCATACCAGAAACCAGTTCAGACCAGAAACCAGTTCAGACCAGACTGAAACCGTTCAGAGATACAAAATCTCAAACCACATACGATGGGTCTAAAACTGGTTTACATCAGTATTTTTTTTTTAAATATATTGATGTTTTAAAATGTACACTTTTGGGCAGGTTAAGGCCAGTTTCACACATTTCTAGAATAATACTGTACATTTTCAGACAAGTGTTAGTTTTTGGCTGCATTCAAACGCAGGTTTTCTACTGGTTTCAGAGAACTCTTGGTCCTTGTCCAATCCCTAAAACATGAAACTTTTCTGAATCATCAGTATTGCTCAGTTTAAAATCAGCTTCCATGAAGTGCTTTCAGAGTTTGCTGGTGACTGTGTCCTCATCTCTTCTTCTTTCTCCAGGTCGTATCCTGGTTCCCACAAACTGATGCTGTTCCTGGTCCTGGTTTTCTCTGATGTTTTAAAGTCAGCTGCTTCCTGTGTTTAGCAGACTGATGACGGTGTAGCCAATATGTCAGCTCACCAAAGAATAACTGAAACAATATCTGTGCCAAAAGAAGAAAATGTATTCAGGATCTGACTGCAGTTTACCATCTGTGCTTAATATGTTATAGAGCAGCGGTCCCCCAACCCCGAGTCGTTTGGTGCCGGGCTGTGAGAGTTGAGGTTCGGGTGTAAAATGTATGGTTTTCAGGGTTTTTAGCGGTTTTTAGTGTTATTTTTGTTTTTGTCGTTAACTCTGTTTTTGTGGGTCTTTAAACGCGTGTTATGAATAAATCTTCTTTTTTCGTTAGCGGTACTAATTTTCTTTTGTGGTGTTTATTTGCGACACCTTAAAGGCCGTGAAAACATTGTCAGGCATAAACCGGTCCGTGGCGCAAAAAAGGTTGGGGACCGCTGCCATAGAGATTTCTGGATTGGAGCATGTCATCCTTCAGGACTCGCATCCACTTTGAAAAGATGAGAAGCTGTTCTTTACGGGATATTTGGTGTATTACGGTAGCACAAAGCATTCACAGGCTACTGCTGTCTGAACTCTGCTTAGGTTTTACCGTCAGTGTTTTGCAATGCCGTAGCTCCTCCACCAACTGGGTTAGAGAGACATTTCAAAGACGAGCTTTACGAAACTTTACTGTGCATCATTACAGTCCAATCACAGATAAGAATTGATGATTGATTGATGATGATGCACGGAGCAGAGAGGCAGGAATGGAGAAGTGGCAACGCACAAAAAAAGAGCAGGAGATTTAAAAACTCCAGTGTGGCCCAGGCTGAAAAACCTTTTTATACATATTTTTTATATTTCATATTTAAAGTTGGTGTTGTGTTACATTTTGTTCATGTTCAATATCAGTTTCCACTTAAGTATAAAGCTGAAAAAACTGTCTGTTTTGTTTCTTTCTAAATGTCTGTATATAGTCTGGCCAGCAAATACTAAAAATGAAAAGAGCTACAGTGTCTTGCAAAAGTATTCGGCCGCCTTGAACTTTCCCACATTTTGTCGCATTACAGCCACAAACATGAATCAATGTTATTGGACTTCCACATGAAAGACCAACACAAAGTGGTGCACATGTGAGAAGTGGAACGGAAATCATACATGATTCCAAACATTTGTTATAAATAAATAACTGAAAAGTGGCGTGTGTGTGATTATTCAGCTTGAACATGTGACTGCTGCATCAGTGCACACAAAAGTCTTTGACAGGTTTATAAGATCATGTCAGCGTCAGAGCGATCCAGCGATATTGATCAGTACAGGCAGCGTTATGTTTATATTCTCAAAAATCAACAGACTCATATTCATGTTTCTGTCACAGAGTGGTGACCTGTTCAGGTGTACCTCTGCTGTCATATTTGGATATTAGAAACTTCCTCTTTCTGCTTGTTGGACAGTCCAGTGTTTCTTCTTTCCAGAGCTTAATGTAAATGAGTCCCTATGTAACTGATATTAACAGTGTGTCTTTGAGTCAGTGGGAAAAACTCTATATTTTCATATTCAAATACTGAGTACAAAGAGCGTGTGTGTGTTAGTACAGATGGTTATTTACTGCACAGTTGTCTGCATGAACACCAGAGAAGAACCAGATGTAAGTTTCAAACCTGCAGGCTCATTTCATGTCTGTGTACAGAGGTGCTGTGTGGACCACATTTGAACTGTTGCTTTTGTCTTCATGGACAATTTTAAACAGATGATCATTTATTAAGAACAATCATATATTTCTTACAGCAGTGTGTGATAAACTAGATATCTGAGTTTAATATAAAGTGCTGCGTGTCCATCAAACACTGAAGAGCTGCTGGATTCATTGTTTTCTCCAAATGACAGAAAAGTCATTTTCATGTGACAGAGCGACGATGCAGTGGAGTCTGTTTCTGCTTCTTCTGATGGGTGAGTGATCATTTTACCAGGACTCCTGATTGTTTCCACCTGAAATCCTTTAGTTTGATCAGGACTCATTAAACAAATGAACCCTTACTGAGAAAATCAAGGATTGACCTGTAAACTGGACAGTTTGATGGGAACATGAGTTTCCTGCTTGTATCAGCAGATATTCAACAGTATTCCTTCTGTTTCAGGTCAGTGTGTCTTCATCACATGTCAGCTGTATGAGTACCACTTTATTAAAGAAGAGATGAGCTGGGATGAAGCATGGGCATACTGCAGAGAGAACTACACAGACCTGGCCAAAGTGTTTGACCTGACAGACATGAGAAGACTTCAAGACTCTGCACAGAATCAAACACAAGCCTGGATTGGACTGTACAGCGAGCCAGGAAGAGACAACAGGACGTAGCACTGGTCTCTGCCGGGGGAGGAATACACTGAAAATAAGACCTGTTGGGGAGGTACAGAGCCAGATGATGGAGCATACCCTGAGAACTGTGTAATGACAAGCATGGCGTGGATAGATTTCCCATGTACTCACACATTTCAGTTCATCTGCTATAACGGTGAGAATATGTGGACAGTAATATGATAATACAATACTTAATAATGTTATAATGTAGTTTATAATCTGTGTTATATCACATGTTCTTGAAAGAGGCAGTTTTAAGAAGGAGACGGATTAGCTGATAAAGATGTTTTTGTGTTTTTCTGTTGACTCGACAGAAACAATGAAAAACAACAAAACATTTCATTTGATTGAGACGTCTGTGACCTGGACTCAGGCTCAGAACTACTGCAGACAGCATCACACCGACCTGGCCAGTGGACTCAATCAGATATACAGTGAAGAGTTTAAGAAGTTGCAGAACTCTAAAGCCTCGTGTATCGGCCTGTTCAGAGACAGCTGGAGGTGGTCAGATGGGAGTAACTTCTCTTTCAGATACTGGGACTCATTTAATGATGGACTAAACAACAGGACATGTGCTACGACTCTGTTGGGGAGATCAGGAAGATGGAGCTCTGCTGGATGTGACCAAAGAAAGCCTTTCTTCTGCTATGATGGTGAGTTTACACAGATTTATCTCAGCTGTTTGTCCAATAGATGAACTGCTGGAATCACTGAGAGGATTTAGGTCAGTATGTTTCTTCAGCCACTTATTTTTGTTTTCTGCCTGTCCCGTTTGGCTCTTTTGCATCAGAATTATTGTCTAAAGGCAAAGAAAGATGCCCAACGGATTCACTTTACCAAATTGACCATCCCAGCCTTGCCGTAATGGTCTATTTGATTCACCTTTTATTGTTTATTTTATTTATTTTTTATTTTCACTTGCTAGATATGGGACAGACTTGAATGAGGAAAAGAAAAGGGAGAAAGGAAGAGGGGGAAAAACAGCTGAGAAGAGGGACGGGGATAAAGGGCAAAAAAACAAAAAACAACTAAATAAGCAGACAACAAAAATGCATATATCAATCACCTGGATCACCTGTTGAGAAAGAAAAAAGAAAACAAGCTGAAGAAAATGAGAGCAATACAGTAAACAACATCACGATGATATATGTGAATATGACAGTAAATACTAAATATTAAACATTATTGTGCAGCACATAAGATCAACAGAACACAGTGTGCTTTGAGGTAGGAGCCAGAAAGGGTGTAGTTTGTGGGTGTGATCACCCGTGTGTACACCTGTGAGCATGGACGCGCTTGTTCTTTTTAAAAGGTTCCTTCATGTAATGATCTGCTAGAGGGTGTGGGGGGGGCCACAGCCCCGTCCTCCAGGGCATGAAGCAGGTATGGAGGAGATCAAAACTCCAGACATCCAGAGGCCCCCAGAACACAAGAGACCAAGGAAGACCAACAGAGGGGCAGCTGCGCCACTGTCCCAGAAAGAGCTGAGGAGAGTCCCAGATGAGGGTTCACCCAGCAGCCGCGGAGCAGAAGCCAGGGGGGTTGCAGTGACGCGCCCGTGAGCTCCACCGGCAGCCAGCTGTGCCTGAGTGACCGAATCCCAGGCCGAGGGCCGAGGGCACCCAAACCCCCGAAGTGGCCCGAGCGAGCCCCAGGCTCCAGGCCCCGATAAGCGGCTGCCAAGGAGTGAGCCGGTGTGTACCTGGACGCCCATCCCCGGACACAAAGAACCACCAACGCACCGATGTCTGAGGGAGTCCGCCACTGGCAGGGGAAGTGGTGGTGGGTGGAGATAGGCCTCCAAACCTTGGAGGACCTGAGATGTCCCCAGAGAGGTGGCGTCTGATACCCAACCTGACATATAGACACAGACATACAGGCACACACAGATACAAACATCCATTCCCACCCTCATGCTCTCATATGCACTTACTCCACACTCAACCGACGTGGAGACAGACATAAAGAGACGCTGTACACACGATCACACTCCCCAAGCGTACTCTACGAACCGGGTCTAGGTACCCTTGCCCCTGGTGGGGGAAACTGCACCCAGACCCAGGTGGTGTTACCCTTTTCCCTGCAGTGGGGAGAAGCAGACCGCCCTGACTCTGCAGCAGCAGGGAGGCCCCACACTCCAGACCCCAGTCGGACGGCCAACTCCTCCTAGCCCCCCCGCTCCAGCAGGCAACAGAGAACGGGGGTGAGAGAAGACTCCAAACCTCCCTCCACCCGCTCATTGTAGTGTTGATGCATGTGTGTTCTAAGGTGCATTTAAAACCCAGGAGGGCATGGAGCTACCTGCCAGAGAGCAGCAGGTAAGCGCATGGTCCCTCCTGTTAGCCCTCAATGTCTACGTTTATTTAAAATTGAGAGGTGGGCAACGACGCCAGGGGTGAGGTGTACACCCCGATGGTAACTTGGACTCCGTGTAGCATGCCCACCCCCAAGATCCTATATGTATGTGTAATGAGGGTGTGAGTAATGTGAATGTCTAAGTTGTGGGATAAAATTGAGGCAGAGGCAGCCAGAAGGGGACAGAGGGGGGGGGGGGGGGGGGGGGGGGGTAGCCTCCTCTGCACCCTGGTGACATACCTTTACCCCAAGGCCCTGCATGTGCGGGTGGTTGTGGTGGAGCGGGAAGAGGGAGGCAGCTGGAGATGGGGAGGGAAGGAAGGGAGGGGCAAGTGACCCCTCCCTGGGGCCAGCTGTATGGGGGTCGAGCCCCCATACACCCACCCGCCCACAACCCCAGCAACATACCAACCAGGACCCAAGCCCCCGAGGCCCAGCCAGGGCCCCAGCCCAGAGACGGAGCGCCCCCAGATCCTCACGCCTGTCCCGGACCCACCCAGGGGCAGCCAGACTACCAGGTCAGTAACCCACGTCCATCAGCACAGACCCTCCCCTAGCCCCGCTGCACGCAGCCACAAGGAAACAGTCACCTAAGAGTCAACAGAGCCCTTAATAGGCCATGACCGCTATCCCGGGTTGAGCCCCCCAAGGAAGATGCTCCTAGGGAACCCCCTGACGCCCTAAGCCTGTACCTACCCCCACACCAATCACAACAGCGAAGGTGGGACCAAACTATGACCCCCCACCCCCACTAGGTGATGGAGCTGATCAAAGGAGCCCAGAGCAATTGACCTGATGTGGTGGCAGAGGCTGTATCAAGACTAATGTAATCTAATAGATAATTTCTATATTGGTTAGAATTAAGATTATTTTTATTTTTCCAGTTCATGAGGACTGTTTTCTTGGCTATGCATAGGGCAGTGAAAACCATATGGGCTATATTCTTTTCTGTAGTGACATTATCTAAGCTGCCCAGTAAACACACTAAGGGGGAAGTTGGAATGTTACATTTCAGACACTTTGATAAGTCTTCACATATCTCGCGCCAAAACTTCTGAACTGGTGGACAGAACCAAAGAGCGTGGATATAATTGTCCGGTGAATTGGTTTGGCAGTGTGAGCAGTTGTTGGAGGATGTAAAGCCCATCTTGAACATCCGATGACCTGTATAGTGCACTCTATGTAATATTTTGTATTGAATTAATTGAAGACTGGGATTTCTAATTAGATGAAAGGTTTTTAAGCAAATCTGAGACCAGAAGTTTAGGTCTAAGTTAACTGATAAATCCGCTTCCCATTTGCAATAGGAAGTGATATTGATTCATCTGTTTTAGAAAGCATTCTGTATATTTTGGAAAGTAATTTGGGGGTTTTAAGAGTAAGAAATTGAACCACACTTGGTGGTGTTTGTAGTTCAACTTGACCCGGTTTAAATTTCTTTTTTACTATGGATTTAATTTGTTGATATTCTAAAAATCTTTTCTTGTTGATCCCATATTGTGTAACTAGTCCGTCAAATGAAATAAATTCTGTTCCTTCTAGTATATGTTCTAAATATTTGATTCCTTTGCAACTCCAATCTGAAAAGTTTATCATATTATTGTTTTGTAATATGTCAGGGTTGTTCCAGATAGGTGTACGTTTGCATGGGATTAATGAAGACTCCGCCAATTTTAGAAACTCCCACCATGCTGTCAGAGAAGAGCTGATGTTGATGCTTTTAAAGCATTCATGTCGTTGGATGTTTGAGCTGATAAATGGCAGATCTGAAATCTCTAGATTATTGCAAAGTGCTTGTTCTACATCTAGCCAAGGTTCATCTAAGACGGTATGTTTTAGCCATCCTGAGATAAACTGAAGCCTGTTGGCTAAGAAGTAGTGCTGAAAGTTAGGCAGTTCTAGTCCTCCTTTATCCTTGGTCTTTTGTAGTGTTTATAAGCTTATACGTGGGGGTTTATTTTTCCAAAGGAATTTGGACATACATGAATCTAGAGATCTGAACCAATCTTGCAGCGGTTTAGTTGGGATCATTGAGAATAAATAATTTATTTTGGGTAATACCATCATTTTTATAGCGGCAACCCTTCCCATAAGTGATATGGGTAGACATTTCCATCTAGCCAGATCACCTTCTACTTTCTTCAAAAGTGGGATATGGTTTAATTTAATTAGATCTGCAAGCTTGGGAGAAACATTAATACCTAAATATTTTATATTTCCTGATTGCAGTGGTGTAGAAGAGGAATTATGGAAGGAGCAATTAATCGGTAGGACTGTAGATTTTGACCAGTTAATTGAGTAATCTTATATTCTTGCAAAAGAGTTTATCAATTCAATCACCCCAGAGATATTGGTTTTTGAGTTTTGGAGAAAGAGTAACACATCATCCGCATAAAGGCTGATTTTATGTTCCGCGTTCTTGCATTTTATGCCTTTAATTACTGAATTCTGACTAATTGCTGCTGCTAGTGGTTCAATAAAAATTGCAAACAGTGAAGGGGAGAGTGGGCATCCCTGCCTGGTGCCCCTCAAGAGACAGAAGCTGGAGGATGTCTGGTCATTTGTTCTAACACAAGCTGTTGGGGAATTATATAATATTTTTAACCAGTTAATGAAAGAGTTTCCAAAACCAAATTTGTGTAAAGTTGCAAATAGAAATTTCCAGTTAACTCTGTCAAATGCTTTTTCTGCGTCTAAAGAGAATATTGTAGTTTCTAGGTTTTTACTGTATGAGTAGTCTATCAAATTAAGTAATCTACGTGTATTTGTTGATGAGTGCCTACCTTTTATGAAACCAGTTTGGTCAGGATGAATTAAGAGGGGGGTATTTTCACTAATCTCTTTGAGAGAGCTTTGCAGATTATTTTAAGGTCTACATTTATAAGGGATATTGGACGATAGCTTGAGGGATATACAGGGTCTTTGCCTGGTTTTAGCAGGAGATTAATGTTTGCAGAATTCATATTTGATGGAAGTCTGTCCTTTTCTTTGATTTCCAACAACGTTCTGTAAAAACTGGTGCCAGAATCGACCAGAATTCTTTGTCGAATTCTGCAGGAAAGCCATCTGGACCTGGAGCCTTATTATTGGGGCGATCGCGGCTCAAGAGTTGGGAGTTCGCCTTGTAATCGGAAGGTTGCCGGTTCGAGGCCCAGCTTGGACAGTCTCGGTAGTTGTGTCCTTGGGCAAGACACTTCACCCGTTGCCTACTGGTGGTGGTCAGAGGGCCCGTCATCACCAGTGTGTGAATGTGTGTGAATGGGTGGATGACTGGATATGTAAAGCGCTTTGGGGTCCT